TTAAATTTTTTCTTGTTAATCATTTCACCCCCTAGCAAGGCAGGAATACCACTAGTGCGCAGGGGATTAAAGTGGGTGAAAGAGAATGCTGAAAATGGGGAAGAGTGAGGAAAGGAATAAAGATGAATAGGATTCAAAAAGACAGAAGATGGCAATTGATGTTGCATTTAAATTTTTGAAGATTGTGGTTATCAGAGAAGCAAGTAAATGGAAGGGAGTTCCACAGGTGGGAAGTGGGAGAAAAGAAACTGTTGGAGTAGGTAGAAATAGCGGTTGCATGTTTTTGAAAAAGTTGGCAGTTCAGCTTTTCTATCTCTCTCTAAAGAAAGAAGGACCAATGCTTCCCCCCCCTCGAAAAAGGAGAATTGATAGTGATACCTTACTACCCAACCCCATCCCACCTTAAATCCCGACTTTGACATGAAACTTAACTCTTCCAGACTTACTTTCACCAAATTGCCAATGACAATGAAATGAATGTTGCTGTTTGGATGACACCATACTTTTTTTCAAATGTATATTTTGATATTGACTTGACATTTCTTATATTTTTTCATACTATAAAATTTAACTTGTTTTTACTAATTTTTGTACTAAGACAATGTTAATATTTTTTTCTCTGGTGTCATATGATCTACTCTGATTTGTTTTTGTTTTCAGTCCACTGGCCGAGTAGTCTTAACACACTTCAAAAAAATTAATGTTTGGACTTATGTCAAAATTTAATTTTTCCAAATTACAATATTTTTTCTTTCTTATCCTACCCGCACACAGGTATGCTGTCATTCATCATTCTCTATTCAAAACCCGGATTTGTTATTGTTTTCTTTTGTTTTTTAATAGGAATAGATAGGCTCTCCTATCACCCAGTTCATACTCCTCCCCACCTTCTCTTGGACAGAAGTAGGAGATCATCCCTTGTTTCTTGTGTAAGAAGGGGTTTCCAGCTTATTTCCTTTTCTCAGGCCTTAATAGTAAAGCTATCATGAGTTTCTTGTGATGTGTGTGGTTGGTGTCAACGTCTCTTCATACTGAGGGTACCATGTTGGCAGTCTTCTCGTTGCTGTTCCCAACTGCAACAAGAAGACTGGTTAGGGTTAGGAGCTTGAACTCTTATGTAGCATCTTGAGAGGCTGCTCTGATCAGCAGTTGCATAATATCAAGGTTCTTGCAGTGCCATGTTGGGCATGAATGGGTGTCCCTGCAAGTACCTCTGGTGGGCAACCATGAGTCTAAATTATGTTGCAGTCTGTGCCATTTCCCTTCTGCATATGTCACACCAAATGGCTGCTAATACCATTTTAGGCTTTTTCCTTACCAATATAACACATCAGGACTATAAACAACCAATGATATAAACCTAAACCAGGTCAACAAAAATCATCAAAACCCTTTAACTTTTCCTTCTCCAAACGATATTTGTACAAACTTCCGCAGTATAGAATCATTCCTTTTTGAAAACTCTCTGGACATTTTAGCACTCTCAACGCTTCCATCCCTTCCTCTGATTTCTCGATTCCTGGTTACCTTCCTCTACTTAGAAAGGACTCTAAAGTCTACATGCATGGCCTGGGAGTTTATATCTGCAAACATCTCCCACTGGCTAGGAAACCCTCTCTTGAATCTCCAGACCATTTTTACATGTGTCTCCATCTCTCTCTACTTAACTCAGTCAACTATCTTTTCTTTCTCTACTGTTGCCCTTCCTCACAAGACTGTTGCATGTTAGATAATATTTCTGATAATATAGACAAGGCTTTCTCCCTACACTCGTTTGCAAACATATTCGTGTTCGGAGACTTTAATGTCCACCATACAAGGTGGCTTAAGCACTCTCACCTTGCTGGCATTCTCTCTTCTCAATCTCTGTTTTACCTCTATTCCTGACTCTTGTCATACTACACAGCTCTACCCTCTTGGGAACTCTAATCACACTTTAGTATCTGTGAATATCTCCTTCTCCTACTCTAACCTGCAACGACCCTCCTACCAACAGAATATCTTTCTGCTATCAACAAGGAGATTGGGACTCATTCCGTGATTTTCTCAAGACATCCTTTGAAATGTGGTTTTTAATCACTCCATTCAGAAATGCACAGCTGAGGTCTACTCCTGATTGAATGCCAGCATTGATGTCTTCATTCCAGTGAGGAAATACCAAGTTAAACCATGTTCATCTCCCTGATTCTCCCCAGCTTGCTCAGCTGCTATAGCCCACAGGAATCACTTTTTCAGACTGTACCAGGATGACAAGTCCAATTGCAATAGATGTCTCTGCTCAGAATGAATGCATGTCCTCAATGAAGCCAAATTATTGTTTGCTGATAGAATGAATCAGTGTATAGCATCTAGCAAGTTCAGTTCAAGAGATTATTGGTGGCTCTGCAAGAGTGTGCTGAACAACAGCAAATCCTCAATCCTTCCTCTGTACAACCCATTCAAAATCCTGACAGCTGATAAGGCTGAATGCTTTGCTCAGCAATTCTCATCCAATTCAACACTTGACTCATCTGGAGTACCCATACCTGATTTCCCCCTTAAAACTGATGCTCTACTGAGAGATATGTGAATAACACCGTCACTGGTT